TGCACCTAAAGCAACCCAAGGATGAAAGGCAAGGACTAGAACAGTGGGGCTCAAAGCGGAAGCCTGGGTCACTGGTAACCCCGGAAGCCACCTTCCCAGCCCTGAAGTTAGTACCTGTTCTGCGAGGGAAAATAAACATGCATTGCATTCAGGCTACTGCCTGGCTAAATGCAATCCCTGGCTGATTTTAGGATGTCTCTTAGGTATCCGTTTTTTATGTTATGAAATAATCCACACACACAAAAGTATTTATAACCTAGACTAATAATAAAGGGAGCATTATGGCAGCTACCACCCGGTCTAGGAAACATGGACCCTCCGGCCTCCCACTGCTCTCCCACCTCCCACCCAACCACAGGGATTCTGTGATTAACAGGCCTTTCTTTTTCATTTATAGTCATCCATGCGTTTATGTAACCCTAGATTATACTGCTGCACTTTGCCAACCTTATGTAAATTATATCGGCAATCTGCTTTGTTCTTGGCCAGCATGAGACATAGCTACATGGATGGGTGGGGCGATGGTTTAATTTCACAGCTTTATGGTGCTCGAGGCATAAATGCACCACTGATTGCCCCAACCACCACTGCACACTCATGGCTTTAGGCCCTTCTAGAACACTGCTATGAATGAACCATGCACTCCTCAGGTACTCAAGGGACCATGCCTCTGGGAAAGGGCTTTCCGGCTTTTCTGACAGTGCCATACAGAGAAAATTATGACAATTACATGGCACACTGGAGGTACCCAGAGGGTGTGGAGAGTTCAAGGCACTGCTTTGGCCCACAGACTCTGGCCCTGCACGCCAGTGCCCACAGCGGGACGCAGAGGCCTGCCAGCAGAACCCAGGCACAGGCTGTGTGGGCCTGCCACCGCCACCACCAGGTAAGACTGGGGTGTTCCTCATTCGCACCAAATCTACATTATTGATGTTCTTTTTGACTTTCATTTAAGTTTTTTCCTAGCTGGCATAGTGGTATATACCTTTAATTCCAGCTACTTGGGAGGCTGAGGCAGGAGGATCCCAAGTTCAAAGCTAGCCTGAATAACTTAAAGAGACCCAGTCTCAAAATTAATTTTTTACTAAAAGGGCTGCAGGTATAGCTCCCTGGTAGAGCACCTTCCTAACATGTATGAGACCCTGGGTTCAATCTTTAGTGCCACTACAAAAGTTTTTCTTGTTCTTAATTCATATTTTTCTTATTTCTAACAAAATGAGCATCTATTATTGTTTACTGACCATTCCTAGTTCCTCTTCTGAGAAATGCCTATGAATTGTCCATTTTGCACTGGCTTGTTTGATCTTTTAAAATAAATTTTCTTTTGCCATCCTTAATGTATTCTTAACAGTAATCATTTGAGAATTATATGCATTTTCCAATTGTCAGGTGGCAGGCTCTATAAACAGTGTCCACCAGATCACTGACAGCAAACAAGATGTGCATGGGGCTTGGATGACAAATCCAATTGGCCATCTGCCAACGTATTGTCTATGACAGCTTTCACTACAAGGCAGAGTTAAATGGTTGTGACAGGTAGACTGCATGGCCTCACAGAGCTGAAAACAATTCATAAACCACTAAAGTCGACTGTGTTAGAAAATGTTCCCCCCACTCCCACCCTGGTATGGTGGTACATGTCTGTGATCCCAGCACTTGGGAGGCTGAGGCAGAAAGATCACCATGAGTTGGAAGCCAGCCTGGGCTACGTAGTGAGACTCTTCGTCTCAAAAAAACAAAAAACAAAACAAAACATAAAAACAGGGGCCAGGAATTTAGCTCAGTGGTTTTGCCGCCTGCTGCGCAAGCACAAGAACCCAAGTTCGATCCCCAATACAAAAAAAAAAAAAATTTCCTTTCTTTTTGTCTGCTCATATCAATTAAAGAGCCTTGTTAAATTTCCTGTGATAATGATACATTTGGTGATACCTGTCAATCTCTGCTAAACTTCATGTTGAAGCTAATTTATCAGGTGCAAAGAAGTTATAAATTATCGAATTTTCCTGGTCAATTATTTCTCCTATCATTAATGCAGTGGCCTTCTTGTCCCCAGAATTGCTTTTGCTTTGAAATGTTTGAGTGTGTTACCCTGTCAACTCTGTTAGCATTTTTCCCCATTTTCATATCCTTACATTTTGGACGTGTCTCTTAAATAAAACAGCACATTGCTGGACTTACTTTTTCCTGCTACCTGCTGACGTAAGTCTTTTAGTCCAAGAACTTGGTCCACTATCTGTCATGAAGGATGGTCTGGTTTCATTTCTACCATGGTAATGTTTCCTTTTCTCATTTTTATTGTTCCCATTTTTGTTGTTGTTTTCCCCCATCTTTCCTGCCTTTGTTAGTTTTACCTCCATTTTAAAACCTTTATTTGAAATTTTAACTGTTCTCATGTTTCCCCTAACATTATACCGCACACTTTAATTACTTAGTAAAGCTGAAAAATTCATGAGTATCTCACCCCTCCTTCAGAACAATGTGAAAACATATGAATTCTTATCAGATTTAAACATCACTGGCCAGCATTTTAATTTCATTTTGTTCATTTGCCATTTATTTTTATTGTGTTTGTAATGGAGAATACATTATCTGTTTTCAAAATAGTGCTTGAAAATACACGGAGTACAGATACTATGTAACAAACCAAACTCCAGTCATGAGACACTACATACATCACATGAAAAAATAATTTGATATCCAGGTAATAATAAATAGAATTTAAAAGTTCCAAGTTTACATCTTGGTAAAACAAATACAGTTACATTAAACAGTTAATAAACTAATCTTTTCCAAAGTATAAACAAATTAACAAAACTAAATTCTGTGCCTGGAAAATGCAACCAAACACAGAGCTACTGAAAATACAGATGCTGTGCGCGTTTCAACTGATTCATTATTATTATTGTGGTGGAAGGGTTAGGTGACTGCACAGGACAAAAATGTGAGAAACATAAATAGTACATACTAGCATCTGAACATCTCAATTACTGCATAGCTTAAAAGGAAAAAGACTATACCACAACTTTGGAAAATTAATCTAGGACAGGGGAAAGTAATGTTGCTTAACATGAAAAAAATGCAGGTGTGGTAGAGAGGTACACAGTCTGGGAGTGCGGAGACAGCCAGGCTAGCTGGGGAGATTGTTTAAGTTGCTGTGTCCACATTAAGACTGTTTTCATTCATCTACATTTGTTGTCCCTTGTGGTTCCTAAACAAGGATGTTCTGCTGCTTTATTAGGAGAGATTTTTTTAAAAAAAGAAAAGTCTTCCTAATCTGTGGCAAAATAAAACAAAACCATAAAAAGCCGACTAGATGTCAAGAACTTTCTAGAAATTATTTTTATATGACTCAGATAAAATTAATGAATTAAGGCATTAAAAAATAAAAATTGGTTTAAGATTTGTGAAGAAAATGCTTTTTTACCCATATTTAAAATTGTAAATCAGCTTTCTTATAAAGCAGGTATCCTGTGGAATTTATAAAACTTCTCATATATAATGATCAAATGGCCATCATAGAACAGCAGCATATTTCACAGACATTATATTAAGTGAAGTTTTACTAAAACGTTAGCCATGGAATCTGAATTTGCTTTGTGCTATGTGGCCATAAGACTATTGATTTCACATCATGGTTTAGAAAATACTAGTACCCTGGGTTTTTGGTGTTTTTTTTTTAACAAAATACACAAGCATACCTTGCACACAGCAAACAGAAGAGGATGGAGGCAGAAAGCTTTTTGTTTTAAAATGAAATGACTGAAGACAAGAATATGGAGCTCTGTAAGATCAGAAAAAATGTTTGGTCGCTGATTATACACTGTCTAAAACAATCCTATAGATAAAACCAATGTTATTTCTTGATCATGTTCCATCAAAACTAAAGACACAGGAATTACTGTTTTGATGTCACATATATACCCTAAGAGCTAACATTTCATTTTAAAGAATTGTAGCTATCTTAGAAGGACTGAGCTAGTTACTTTTGTGCTTTCTCCGAAGTATATTACACCACTGCCCAGTGGTCTCTAATTTTAAGATTAATAGTGAAGAAATCACTCCAGAAAAAACAAAAAAACTAAAATTCACCAAGTTAAAATCCAAAATTAGTTCTAGTTCCTAACTTTAATATTAGGAATTCTGATACTAGTTTGTATTGCAAATTTTCCCAACAATGCAAGAAACATAAATTCAGTCCAGATGTCAGTCATGGCTATAAATATAGCTTATTTAAGCGTAGTAGTCCTTTGAAATAAGTTAATGTGTTGCTGACACATTAATAATAATGAGGCATTAATAACAGTACTTGTAGCTTCATTTGCTAAACTTCCGGTCAAGATTTGACCAGTTAAGAAAGTACTCAATGAGCATAAATCTATTTTAAGTCATATGTAGCCTGGTACCCTCACACTCCTTCTGTAGCATCTCAAAACAATAGGCTGATTTGGCAGATATTGTTTGTGGGCCTTAAGGTTGTTTCTATCCGCTCAATGTTTCACTGAATTCTGGGTAACAGGAATAGAATCTGCAGGGAGAGCAGGGATAATGGGTCTATCTGTGCTGGATGTTTCCTGGGAGGCCAGCAGAGAAGCTGCTGTCTGAACAATTTCTAACTGAGCTGTGCTTCTCTGTCTGGTTGACCCCTTTCTTTGGTTTTCTTGGCACTTTCCTCTTTATGAGGTGAGATGTCCTCTAGACACCTACTATAGGATTAGGTGTGTTTGTTGCTGCATTTCCTGAAGGTCTAGGAGGATGGTTTACTAAATGTGTTGAAGGAACAACTCTGATAACTGTGGGCTTTAGTGGTGGAGAAATAGGTTGTAAGGGAGTTTGAGAAAGGCTTTCACTCGGTGCAACCCCTGAGGTTTCACTAGGATTCACCTGTTGCAGAGAAACTTCAGGAGCCTGCATATTGGTCACAGATGCTGCCACTAAAGCCAGGGAAGGGCTGTTTCTGTCCTGAGTGCCAGTAGGTAAAGGCACTGATAAGATGTTCTCACTTTCTACAGACAAGCAGAAGCTGCCGTCATCCACAGCCGTCAACCTTACACCTTCTGAGTGTGTTTTCTTTTTCTGAAGAACATGATCAGGAAGTAGCTGATGAAGTTCCTTTTTCCTTAAATGCATTGCAGCAATTTTCATGTCCACCTCATACATCTTACTATGTACTGCTTGCCTATAAAGTGTATCTGCAAAAGATTGAATATCATAGTTGAGATCAAGATTGAGAATTTCGGAGTTTTCTGGCTTTTTTAACACTAACCCAATCACCCACATTGTGCTAAATTCTTCCTTGTCCAGATTTTCTTTGGGTGCTGGAAATGACTGGGGATTTACATGTGCCAGTGTAATAAATTCATTTTTCTCCAAGCTCCCAATCAGGATTCGGATCTTTGATTCCACCAAGCCCACCCATTCTAGATGTCGTTTTTCTGTTGGTGCACTTGCCAGAAGTATAATATAATGCTTGTACTTCTTAAAAAAGCTTGGAGCGTCAAAGAGTTTGGACCACTCTGCCTTATTCAGCAAAATTTCATGTGTGATAGCAAGCCCCTGCTTAAACTCCTCAATCATGACCATCCTAGTTGAAACAGACACGTTGTAAGTAGAGTTCTGCTGTGGATATGCTGGTGTAATTATAGGCATAAGATGGTAGCGATCACTGGGATTTACCCTTGGGTCCCACACAGGCAAATTAAGAGTCCGTTCTTCAGGCTCTTTCAGTAACACTGGATTTGGCCATTCCCATTCAGAAAACACCAAGAAAAATTTATGTACAAGAGTTGATGCTACTGCATTTGGATAAAGCTGGCAAGTTCTTGCTACTAGCATGGCCCAGGAAACACCTCCGAGGAAACCTAATATATTGGAGTAGATATTGTGGCATTTAGCCCACAATTTGATGGCTCTCAGAGTTAACCTGAAGTTGTCAATGTTTGGTACTAGATGTAAAATTTCATCAGTTACTCGGCAACCGTTAAGACTTCTTATGCATCTAATATCTAAATTTTTAAGCAGACTGTCATCTCTTAGATCCAAATCTTCTGGAATAGTCTGCAATGCTAACCTTGCAAACAAAATATCAATCTCTATCCCAGCAAAGCACAGTTTGATAACTGGTACAAATGCCTCTTCAACTGCCCTTAAATCTTTGACTTCCTCCTGTAGTTTCAATTTCCCGTAAAATGAGGTGAAAAACTCGCTCCGATCAACATGGCTCGGGGCAACACACAGCGCATCGATATCGGCCCCTTTTGTGTGGACTCCTAGTCTGTAAGAGCCGAAAGTGAAAAGTTTTCCCCCAACATTTTCAATGAAAGCTTGGGGCAGGTTCTTGCTTTCGCTGATTTCTCGTATCCATTCCTTCACCAGATTGTTTAACTTTTCCAAAATTAATGTCCTGCGCTGCAGCTCCTCTTCCTCTTCGAACACCCCGAAAGGCTGTAGGGTCTCGATGAGCCTCTGGGTGAGCTCAGGGTCAGCGTCCCTGGGGGCGGCCAGGCTGATGGCCGCCGAGAGGCCGAGGCGCTCCGGCAGCAGGGCTCCCGGGGTGGCCGCCGCCAACGGCATCCTCCCTAGAGCAGGCGGACCCCCGCGGCCGCCGCCCGGCTCATGCCCGGTGGGCAAGAGGACCGGGTTCCCGCGGCCCTGGGCTGCACGCCGAAGTCTCAAGCGTTGGCCGGCCTGCCACTGGCGTCCAACATGGCGCTGGCCGCCGCCGGCGTCCAGAACGGACCGCGCACGCGCGAGCCTTCCCCCGGCCACGAGAGGGCGTGGCAGCGACGGGAGGAGCCTCAGCCTCCGCAAACGAGGGCGGTCGGCGTGTTCCGCCCTGCCGAGGTCACTGCGACGCGCTCGCGGACACCACCGCCCTCCGCTCACCGTTCTCCAGGCCTCGCCCACCAGCGCCCCGAGAAGTCCTGAAGCGCGGGCCTTGCGCACCGCGGCGCCCGTGTCCTCTCCCGTCGACGCAGTGCACATCCGTCCCAGAGCCGCCACGCCGCTGCCCGGTGCGCGGGCTCCACCCGACACACCGCTTCCTGCGTCAGTGGGAAGGGCCGCAGTCCTCACGCCCTGGCCTCCAGATCCCAGCAGACCTCTCTGCACCTGTGCTGCTCACCATGACCCAGACCACCTCCCAGAACCCTCTTCACTGTATTCAATCTGCTGAAGAATCACTGAAGCATTTATTTAAATACTTAAGATTTTTTATTAGTGGACCCCTTATCTTGTTCTTTTCAAATAATCTCTCTTCTTTTGGGTGACATTCTTCCATATTTTTTCTGCCATTTCTTTAAATATATTAAACATACCTATTTAGTATTCTATAACCAACAATTCCGATTCCCAATGTTCTTGAAAATCTAGTTGTATGCTTTGTTATCTTCCACCAACTCCTTAAGGTAGTATGACCTCTTGTGTCTTGTAATTATGGATCCTGAGCTCACTTCCGGTGAACTTTGGGATGCATGGTGTGGAAATGTGACCTTCCAAAGAGGGTCTGCTTTGTGTCTACCAGACACCCCTGTACCCTGTCAAACTGCACTATAATTTAGTTCTTATTCCAGGGATTATCCAAACCATGGTGGTGCAATTTTGAACCCCCAAAACATGCAAGATAAAACTGGTTTTCAATTCTAAGGAGAAGTCTAAGTTTTCCCACTCAGAGCCCAGGTCAAGAAAGGTGACTGTCATCTTTTACCAGGTAATAGATTCTTCCTATCCCATCTTTTCCCTCCAATTTGAACTTCAGAGGATTCCAGCTGTATAGAAAGGGGCTCCTCTGTTCTAACTCCCTACCTTCTAAGGTCCCAGGGACTTTCTCTTTGGGGGCAGTTATTAAGTTTAAGTCTCTTAGTTGCCAAGACTAACAAATACCTCTAGCACAATTATAGGTTCAGAATCCACTAAAATTCTGTGGCTTTAAGATACCTCCTTCCCCCCCGCCCCCAGAAATTTCCTTTGCTTTCTTGGGTACTCACCTGTGCATTTAAAAGATGTACTTCCAGCTCATTTATAGTCAAAGATTTTCCAGGATACTTAGCATCACATACTGCCAGAAATTTAAAATCTACTTTTCAACCCATTTCAGTTTGGCTTGCATGCTCAACGTTGCAACAAACAAACAAGCCCCTGATATCAGAAAGGGCCTTGGCAACCTCCACATTGCCCAATCCAGTGAACCAATGGTCTGCATCTTTCCTGACCTACAGAAGCCTTCATGCTGGCCCACATGACACCACACTCTTGGTGGTGTTGTTACGTCTCTGCCCATTCCTCAGTATGATGTGCAGTTCCCTTCTCCATTACCTGGCCTCTAAATGGTGCGGTTCCTCCACACTAAGTTCTCACTACTTCATACTGCACATACATTCATCACCACGGTCATCCATCAATTTCCATGACCTTAAATGTCACCTACTGATAGACAAAGTGTTCGTAACCAGGCTCCTTTCTGAGCACCAGATCTATATTATTTGACTGCCCCGCTTTCCCCCTCTACCAGGATGTTTCAGGCTTCACATAATTTAAAGAGAACTCTTAACTATTTCCCCCATAATTTGTTTCTCTCTCAATAGTCTCCACTTCTGAAAATGGCATCTCTATCCTCCCATCTACCGAGTCGTGCTTGACACCTCCCTCTTCCTCATCCTCCACATCCAGTGCATTCACAGATACTGTGGCTTCTACCTTCAGAATACATTTGGAGTCCATCCAGTCCTCACCACCTGTTTCCCATAACCCTATCCAAGCCACCACTGACTCTCACCTAGACGTCTATAATCAATCACCTATTACTGACCTTCTCAACATACTCTACACCTAAGAGCCAGACTACTCTTTCAACTGCTTCAATGGCCTCCTATTACCCTTAGTCTAAAATCAAAATAGCTCCCCAGAACCACAAAAATAAATAGTAAGCCATATGTGGTAGTACACACCTGTCATCCCAACACTCTGGAAGGCTGAGGCAGAAGGATCACCAAGTTCAAGCCTGTGCAACTTAGGGAGACCTGTCTCAAAAAATTAAAAGTGGGATGGGGGACCACAAAATAAAACAAAATCTAAAGTACCTAGCAACCCAGGTTGATCTTCCCGATTGCCCAGTCTCACCATTGTCCTGCTGGTCTCTAGCTACAATGGCCTGCTGCCAGTGTCCAGTGTCCTGTGCCAGTTTCATTCTCTCTCATCCCCAGGTCTCTCCACAACCCTGTTCCCTTAGCCAGGGTGCTCTTCCCACCCCACGAATTGCACACTGCTTTTCACCTGGTTAATGTGCTGTCTGTCATTTTTGACACTGGTTTAAAGTTCATCTGCTCAAAAGAGCTTCCCCACCTTACTCTCAATTAGCACCTATGCTTTTCTTTCATGGTATATAAAACAGTTTGTAATTATGTTTTGAGTTATTATATCTTTGTCCTTGCTGCTCACTAGACTCTTAGCTCCAAGAATATATGATTATTTTGTCCGTAGCTATATACATGGTTTGGGGGGAAGCTTAAGGGGAAGCTAGGGATCAAATCTAGAGCCTCAGAAATGTGAGGCAAGCACTCTTCCATTCAACTACATCCACAATTTTACTTTGAGTCAGGGTCTTGCTAAGTTGTCTCAAACTTGCAACCCCCCTGCCTCAGCCTCCCAAACAGGTGGGATTACTGACACATGACACCATATGTAGCCATCAACTACTCTCTACTCCTACCCAGCACCTAGTCAAGTGCCTAACACATAGTGGCCATTCAATGAATATTTGGCAGTAAATGAAGAAAAACTTTCTATCTCATTTAAGTCACCAGGAAATCAGTATCTGGAATTTACCTTTTCTTCAGTTCTCATTGGCCCTTGACTTTGACCTCATTAATCTCTTACTTTAGGGAAATGAGCTGTTGCTTTTTAAACAATATGTTAGGTGCAGGGTGGATTAGCAATCCCCAAACTTCACAACTGCCTCTTCTTTGCCTTCCACTAGAGAGGATGGAGAGCCTGCCTTGGGGGAAAGCTCCCAGGATAAGGATGGAGTCACTTGTGTCGAACCCTAACAAAAATAAGTAAATAATGCTGGGGCATTACAGAGGAGGGGATCTCGTGTGTGTATGCCGAGTAACAAGAACAATCACAGGCGACTTTCCAGAGCCACAGCCCTGCACCAAGGCCTTGGCCACCCTCCAGAGACACTTCTGTAAGAACTTCTACCCAGCATCTGCCCGTCTAACCCTGGCTTGGTGCCTCCCTTGCTATTGCCCCCCATAGCCAACAATAACTTATGCAACCATTAAACACTCATTTCATCTTTAAAACCCCCTTTCTCCCTCTGTCTCCTACACGAATGGACACATACATACATAGTTTACTATGGCACATGTATTCCTTTTGCAATGCTCATTCTAATTAAATTCATCACCTATGAGAAGCTCTCTCTGTCGGTTACTTAGTTTGGCACTAAGATGTCCACCTTGGCCACACCTTTGCCAATCTGTCTTATGTTTTACATCTTCCCAACATCTTACACCAGTGGTGACATCCCTGTGTCAACAGGAAACATCCCCAACAGTGGCTCCTTATGGCACACAGCTGGATGTCTCTCTGCTGTCCCCAAGCTCAGCCAGGTGTGGGTTGGCCCTTCTGACATGGTGCTTCTGTGATGAAAGTGAAGGGAGGGATGTTCTTTAAATCTAAGCAGTGAACTGAAGGATGACACTAGCTGGGAGCAACACACCATTCGACCTAATTTTCTCCCTGAATTAGAAATGCCAAAAAAAGTCTTTAAATTCAATTACTTTTCTAGTTTCAGTCTGGTGAAAAAAAGGTTTGGGTTGTTTTGTTTTTAGCCAAACCACATAAAATGAATGTTTCTCACCACAAACCTATCATTGGTGATACACTGCAAAGAAAGCAGCTACTCCCAAAGGACAAGAGGAAGAGCAATCCAGGTCACCTCCTTCATGCCAAGACAAGAGTTGTTTAAGAATCTAATCCAGTGTGAAGAAAAAAGTTCCAAAAGAAAGTGACACAGGGAGGCTCAAGAGCTTTAGGACACAGAGGAACACAAAGGCAGCTATGGCTTCCCATGGGCATGAGCCTGGCTGTCCCCGGGGAATGCGTGTTGCTGCTGGCCCAGAGATGACAAGGTGGCATGACAGAACACAGCACCCAGCAAGGACACAGGTCTGCCCCCACCTGCCACCTCAAAGCCAGCAGCAGGGATTCGACCTCCACAAAGACAGATCCCATGGGTCCCCACAGCTGAGACCACAGAGCAGCTCTCTCTCCTCCAGGCTCCAAGCCTCCCACATGTTAAATGAGTTCCCACTCTACACCAGACTGCACCACAGGCATCTGATGGGCAATCCTTTCAGTCACGAGCCCAGGGACAGGTGCCATAACATCCCCAGCCTCTGTTTAGCCACAGAGATAACCCTAAGTCTCAGGTGCCTTAAAACCTCTCTATGCTTACTTGGGGGGGGGGGGTATAGGGTATTGAACCCAGGGGTTTTGCACTGAGCTACATCCCCAGCCTTTAAAATTTTTTTTCTTTGTTGTTGTTGTTGTTGTTTTACTTTGAGACAGGGTCTAGATAAGTTGCTAAGTTGCCCAGGCTGTGCTCCAATTGCTATTCTCCCCCCTCAGCCTCCCAAAGTGCTGGGATTACAAGTGTGTGCCGCCATACCCAGCATTACACTGCCTTTTTACAAAGACATCCAAAGCAAAGAGACCTGCCCTGGAAGGTATCAGGGCCGAGCCTCTGAAGGCCGCACACAAGGTGCTCATCAGCACAGCAGCAATGTGCACTGCCCCTCCCTAAGTGTGGGGCTTTCGAGGCCTCAGACCCCAGAAAGATGCCTAGGAAAGACATCTCCTAGTGAGGAGATGAGGGCCGTCAGAGTGAGGCTGTGGGCCGTCAGAGCAGGTCTGATGGCTGCAGGTGGCACACACAGGGAGGCGCTGGGCGTGGGGCACCGACAGCACTCATCTGGGCTGAGTCCAGGGGCCGGGTCTCCCCAGGGGACTTGGCGATGTCCTGGAAGCATGAGGCACTTACAGCTGGTGCTCAGGGGTCTGGAGGCCAGAGCTCCGCTCCCAGGTACAGGGTGTCTCCCACAGCCGGGGCCTCAGCACAGACTGCCAGTGGGATAGTGGAGGAGCCAGTCTAAACACCCTCCCTCTGCTCACAGAGAGCCAAAGCAGGCAGACACAGCCCTCTCCCTCACCCACCTCTCGCTGCTGACCAAAACAGCATGGCCCTGCCGTCACCCTCCCACGATGAGCTTGACTGTCGCTTTCATCTCCACATGGCATGGGCCCCAAATACCAGCGCCTGGGGAACTACTGAGGGCTGCTCTCCAGACAGCACCACTTCCTCACCACTTCCCTTAGCGCAGACTCCATATTTTGACAGTGTGGAAAGCAGAGAATCCAGCAGCGTGGGAAGGGCCATATTTACAGAAAACTAAACCCAAAAGTGTGTGACTATGGGTGCACAGCCACAGCTGAGCAGTGCCTGAGGTCCGGCGTGTGTGGACTTCAGCATCCCCACAGCCGTCCTCTGCTAGGGATCCTGGCAACTCAACAGCCACCAGCCTTCTCCCCTTCCCCTCCCCAGCTGTGACCCTCTAAGATAGGAACAAGTCTAAGGCAACCTGAGGCTGCTGACAGGAAGGAGAACTGGCATAAGAAGCTTCTGGGTTATGGTACCCCAGAGCCTGAAACCTGGGATGGCTGCATTCATCTGCGCGCGCGTGTGCGCGCACACGTGCGCACACACACACACACACACACACACACACATTCAACGCACACATGAGCACACTCACAGGCCTCCCGCCTTTTTGCAGACAAGACCTGACCATTCCCTTATTGGGACAGCAGGGCAGCCTCATCCCACCCATCGGAGAGAAGATAAGGGGAAAGGTGTGCCAGGTCCTTGGGGTCCTCCCCAGCCTGCCCTATGGGCATCCAATGTCACCTTGATTTCTGTCCTCCTGAAAACAAGAGTACCCGGCTACCTGTGAGCATTCATTTCACTGCAGCAAGTGCCACCACAGAGCCCCAGCAGCATGCAGGCCTTCACTGGGGCTCCCTCAGGACAAGCAGGCACAAAACCTGCTTGGTAGCCCAGGAAGCTCAGAACAGATGGGCCAGGACACAGTGGAGCAGCATGGCAAGGATGGGGAGTGCCCCCTCTTCCACTTAAGGCTCATGGTCGCCTGGCAGCCACAGTGGGCAGCCCCTCACCTCTGAACCCTCCTCCAGGGCCAAACAGTCTCTTAAAGCTGTTGCCACAGAGGCCTGCCTTCGAGGGGGACACTGAGCCTCAGCGAGGCCCTCAGGAGCAGGAGGCCAGCCACAGCAGCTCCCTCCCCTGTGTCCTGACTTCCCAGGGAGCACGGGAAGGAGCTAAGAGAATGTGTGGAATGGCCAATACACGCCACAGAGGGCTGCACTGGGCTCTTTCCCAGGGAAGAGTGGAGTGTATGTCACTATGTGCACACATGTGTGTCCACATGCACATGGCCTTGTAATGTCTGCCCTGTAAGGATCATCAGGAGAGCCAGGCACAGGCCAGAACCCTGGGGGAGCTCTAAGTCAGGCCTAGTCCTGCCATCGGGTCACCTGAGCAGCACACTGGGTTACTTGGTGTCTGTGGGTCTCCTCAGCTCCAGCCACACTAAAACTGCTTTTCTATTCCTGTCCCTCAGGGCACCATCCCCACCCTAAGCAGAGGCCTAGAAGCGGCTACCACGCACTGAAGTTTCCAGCCATGCCAGGAACGGCACTAGGTGTCCAGGCAACACCCAGAGAAGCCCAGCGAGAGAGGATGGCCCAGGGCCCGGGCCTGCTAGGCAGGTAATGCAACCCGCTGCCACCCAACAAGTGGGTCACTCAGACTGGCCAACTCAATAGGCTCTTTATAGGGAAGGCTTGAAAAGCCACCAGGGTTAAGAGGCTACAGGTCATGGAACTTCCTCTGGCCTTGATGTGTATGAAAGAAGCAGCTCTGAGGGCAGCAAACGGAGCAAACTCTAGCATCTTGCAACCTATACTTGGCCCCTGCTGTTTCCCACAGACCAGCAGCCACTGTGCAGGCAGACCAGGCTTTCCAAAGCTCTGCCTCACTCAGGTGACACCGCACAGTGACCTCAGGACAGGTGCTACTGGGCCCTGCAGCGACCCCGTCAAGCCTGCTCTTTGCTGTCCACTTAGTGGAGGAGGAAACGCTGAGCAAGAGAATGACCAAAATGCTACCTTCTACACCAAGGGCCCTTTGTCTCCATGCAGCGCCTGGTGCCTCCATCACCCATCGCTTTCACACACCAGGTCTTCTGGAATGAGGCACCAAAGGGACAAAAGTCCTCCAGATCACTGCAAGGCAGGATGAGGACAAAACCCAAACCCTGTAAACAGCGACCTATGGGAAAGTGGGGTGCTTATCTGCCAAGGCTTGAGTGCCCTTGGTCACTGCCAGCAATTCTGAATGATGCCAATGACAGGAGAGTGCCACCATAAAGACCTTGCCCCCTGCCCATCCCGGCCCCTCCTGCCTGTGTGCCTCTGTCCCTCAGCGAGACTTACCAAGCACCGCAGCTGCATCGAGCAGACTTAGCTTCACTAAGCCTTTTGGGGCTCTGTGATGTAATCTTGTCCTCCAGATCAGGAACCAGGCCTGGTCAGGCCAGGCCCCAGAGCTCCCCCACTATCCCTACCTCACACACCATACCCCAGCGCAAAGTGGCTCTCAAGGAAGCAGAGCTGGACAAAGTGAACACTTTCCACCTGAAACACCAAGAAGCCGAGCATGCAGTCTTGGTGAGCCATCACAAGTCCTCCTGTGGGCAACAGGCCAAGACCACAGGCTTGTGTAAGGACACTGGCTTTTTTACAGTAAACTAAGAAAAAGTCAAATATGACCCAAAACATGCTAAGAATCTTCTGGTATTTGAAAAAATTATTTTTATGGCATCTATCTATTAAAGCAATCAACTTCTCTCCACCTACTGAGTCAGCACCAGACACGAAACACTGGGCCACAGGCCGCCGGGTCCTCAAGCCCAAGGGCAGGCGGGCAAAGCCCCTGCTTCCAGTACTCGAAGAGAGAATATCACCAGCTGCCTCAAGGAGGGGGCTCACCCAAGAATGGCCTCTGACTGCCCGGCCACCCCCAGACCCCTGCACACCCGCACACTCCGCACAGGCCCCACTGCTGCAGACTGTGCGACGGGACGACACCATCCAGGTGGGGAGCCTCCTCCACTGCCTCTCCATCTGAAGCCTGTCCCTGGGATTCTCACCAGGTCTGAAGGGCTCTGTGAGGCATATGTGACAATGTGGGCAATGTGTAACAAGGGCTGGACAGTGACCTGACTTAAGAGAAGGATGGACAGGGCCTAAAACACTGCATTAGGAGCCACAGTAGTGCACCACCAGTGAGACAAGCCACCATGTCCAAGCCAGTGAGGGTACAGTGGTGGACAGGCCCACAGCGGCTCCACTCACCTCTTCCCGAGAAAACGCCTGCCCACATGCTCCTCTGTTCCTTGTCCCCCGCTCCTGGCCACCTCCCTGCCCTCGGCCCCACTGCCCCTTCCTCACCTGCCGTGAGGGTATCCACATCTTTGGCAGCCAGCTCCTCCACATCTGACCTCTTTCTCAGTTCAAACCTCCTGGACAAACCTTCTCGGGGTTTCCATAACTCCTGGATCAAGAGGGGCTTCTCATTGTCCCCGAATACCCGGAAGCACTGGGCCTGCCACTGCTTCCCAGGGTCCCCAGCCTGGCCCACCACATCACACAGCACATACTGGCTGGCACATTCAGGGTCCAGGGCGTAGCGCTCTAGGGCTTCCTTCACCAGCTCCTGTGCGCTGGACATGCCAGTGGCCAGGACGCTCTTGTAGTGGGTACCCAGGCACACACTGTCCCCAAACACCTTCAGGACCCCTGGGGCTGAAAGCTGGGTGGATAGCTCCGCAGGGTCATCTCTGGCACCCAGGCTGCACAGAGCAGAGTCCAGGTCCCGGTACTTGTGGCTCAGCGTCCGGGACAGCATGTTGGACAGCAGCTGGCCTTGTCTCTTCAGCTTGCTCTTGGTAGGCGGAGACATGACGAAGTGAGTCCCATAAAGCATGGTGAGCAGGACTTCAGGGATGAGGGCTGAGAACCTCAGCCACAGGGTGGGGAGAGGCTGGGACCTGGGGGACAGAGTGAGATGGGTTAGCACCAAGAGCAGAGGCGGGAATCTCGTCCAACAGATGAAACAGCCTTTCAGCGTCCCAGCCCAGCAGACAGGTCACCTCGGCTCAGACCCCAGGAAGCACCTGGGCTCAGGACTGGGCTGCAGGCTGCCAGAATGAAGCAGGCTGGATGGCTGACACACCTTCAGGGAAAGCCACTACTAGGAAGCATGAGGAGGCTGCCTTGTCCCAGGCTTCGGTTCTGGGAAGTGCTAGCCACAGTGCACAGGGAACAGAAGCTGGCAGCAGAGCACAGACAGGCACTGCTGAATCAAAGCGGGAAGGGTGCCTCACTGCAGCAAGCTCACCACCTGGTACCCCAACAGCCAGAGAAAAAGGGCAAACAAGTAGGGTTCCAGCTCGGCTCTCTGTGAGTGCACACCCATCACAAACAAGTGGGGAGCAAGGCTTGAAGTACCTCTAGTCCCAGCACTTGGGAGGCTGAGGCAGAAGGATTGCTATGAGTTTGGGGCCAGCCTGGGTTACACAGTGAGTTCAAGGCCAGTCTGACTATATAGTGAGGTGCTGTCTCAAATACACACACACACACACACACACACACACACACACACACACACACCACGCAGAGCTAGGGAAATGGCAAACCGGAGCCAGGAGCCCCAAGAAAGCCATGCTCTCCATGACCGGGCAGAGGAGGCTGGTCCCAGGGTGAAGGACGTGCCAAGCTCAGGACATCCTTGAAGCTGCTGTGGACACGTGGAGGCATGCCTGGAATGCATGCATTCTGCCCACCACATCCAGCCCTGGAGATTCAGTCTCACTGGGAGAGGAGGAAATGGGAGGCTTTGGTGTGTTGCAGAATCCTAATCCCAGTGCACTAAGCACCCCACAGGGATTACAGGTGGAGATTATCTGTGGGTCTCCCTCACACTCCCAAGGAGGGCAGGTCAGCTGAAAACAGAGCCAGGTTCCCCAGGGGGGACAGGGAGAAGCTTTGCACACATCTCTAGGTGACTTATCCCCTTGTGTGCTCATGTTTCCCCACAGAGACAGACAACTAAGCCAGATGAAGGGCCCATATTCTAGCAGGTGCTGGAAAGAGGGGCCGGGACCCAGTGAAGGCAGCACGGCACCTGCCACTGTGACTCTAAACAGCCAACTCCATTCCAATCAATTTATATCCCCAACCTCAACTCACTCTCACCCTGTGAGTGCTAGAAAAGGCTCTGGGGAAGGCAAGTGGCTGTGGAGGGATGCAGTATCCAGGGAGACTCACAAAGACCCTCAGTGAACCCAGCAATGTAACTGTCCAGACCTCCACAGCTGATACCATGACTCGGGTTTCTTCCTGCTGCCCACCTGGCTGCAGCCCTGTCCCTGGGCCTCTCACCGCCACCAAAGCAGTCATGAATGGAGCCAACCAGCAGGCCACCATTCTGTTCCTAGAGCTATCTGCCTGCCACTGCCAAGCATTCTGGGAGGAGCCCAGCTCCTCCAAAACTTCACACATGGAAGACTGGATTCCCAACACTAATGCTTGTCCCATTAGGTGACAGGTCCTCTGTCCCTACAACCTACTGCTTAGGATGCATCACTGGCTTTCTACAGACTTAAATCTGTTTTCAAGCAGCCAGCTATCCCAGAGATCCTAGCTACCGGTCACAAAAGGTGCCCACAAGATCAATAAGTCTCTCCTCCCCCAGGAATAGGCAATAAGTCTCCTTGTCAAATCCCAAGAAGCCCAGAGCTGTCACTGGCTTCCCATCCTGGATCCCTCACTTAAGTAACAATAAAAGCATTTTCAGCATTTGCATCACAGACTGCCAGCTTTGCATCTGCACATACTTAGAGCTTCAGATCTGTCCCCAAAGGGAACCTGGGATCAGAGACCAATGCCCTGAAGGTCAGCCCTCTAAACCACCTCTAAGGGATGCACAGCCCTGCCTGGGAGTTTCCCACACCAGCCTCTGGAGACATCCTTGCTCAGAAGCCAGCACACATTCTCAATGGGATCTAACCCTCTGCATACGCGTGGCCTAATTGGTCCCATCCCTGAAATTCAGGGGATATCTCCATGGACAGAGTTCTTCCCTGGGGTCCAGAGCCCAGTCCAAAGCAGATGACAGCACGGGAAGCCTTTGTCTTTAGAGATAGAGTCTGAAGGTAAATTGAAACACAATGCCAAAAGTTGCAGAAAGCATCACTAGATGGGAGGAAAGTCACAAAGTCACATGAGTGTTCAAAGGCCTGGGATGCAGTGGAGACGCAATGGGCATCTTGCATCGGGTGATGCAGGTTTGGTAAGGTCTGACACTCCCATGGTTCTACTTTAATAAGAAACAAGTGGAAAATTACAAATACATCATCACTAGGTCCCCTCCCAGGGCCTTGCAAGTGAGGGGCCATGGTGCTTGAACTTCAGTAGTGCCCCTCCCTCCTTTCCAACTGCCTTTGGCGCCAGATTCTGAAGCAGAGTCAGGAAAACCATGCAGAGCAGGGAAACGATGTAAATGGGAAGCAGTGACTCATTCCTTCCCAGTAACTCCCTCACCCCAAGAAGTCCCTGTGAAACCCCAACTTTATATACTTCAGGATTTTCAGAAAGCATTCTTCCCCCATGGGGAAGAATATTCCCTAGGAAGAGGACGCCAGTGACCAGAGCCACCAGCACATGGGTCACCTTCTTCCCTAATCGCAGAATGCAGAGCACAGCCTGTTTGTCCCAATGGGACGAGTTTGGTTCTTAAAAGGTGGGGAGGAGTGCAGCAAAACCCTGTGGAGCAGAGCCCAGCCTGGGTAGCCAATCTGTTTTTCTGGAAGTGTGACCTGCCTTTTCCTTTTCTGCTCAATCCTCGCTCTGTCACACAAACACTTCGGGGAACGCTCCAGGCCCAGACAGCCAGGCTGCGGGGCGCTTGCTGTGGCAAATGTTCATCTCTCGCTCTCAAGGAAGAGTCCCATTTCTGATGAAAAACAAGCTCAAGTCACAGCGGCAGGGCAGGGAGCGGTCAGCGCGGGCTGACATGGGTGGAGGGACACTGCTCCCTTCCAACAGGACAATGTGGAACCCATTATCATTCCAGCAGCAGGGAAAGAGGATCGGCAAACTTCACACACTGTGCTTTATGCCCCTCTTCCCTAAATCCTAACTTTGCAGCTGCAGCCAGAACACAATTCAGTCAGGTGTCATTCTGCCTGCTGGTGTCTGGAGAGGGGACAGACTCCCTGAGCAGGACTGAAGGCTGGCTCCTCTCTGGAATGCACCAGAGGTGGCACCGGTAATCAAATTCTTTTTGGCAATTCAGATTAACCAAACACTTGACAGGCGACAGGGGCTGGGCAGGCAAGTCTGCAGCCCGCCAAGGTCCCACCCTCTGGCTCCCCAGGGACAGGAGCCAGTCTGCCCTCGGGCCGGAGCTCCAGCTCCGCATCTGTCTCCCGAGATGCAGTCCTTGTCGGGGGCTGGAAGTGGGACAGAAATAGCTGGGAAACAATGCCTGTCGCGGGCGCACGAGTGCGGAACGTGCCGCGGGGTGGGCGGGGGGCGGGAGAGCGTGGGACGCTGCGTGCCTGGAGGGCCCTGGGAGACTCCTCCAGGGAAACCGAGGCCCGGGAGCCTCTGAGCTGGGGGCGGCCCCGGGATCGACCGTGGAAGTCCTGTGAGCCGGTCCAGTCGGGATCGTAGGCCTTCGGGGACTGACCGCCCGCCGGTTTCCATGGCAACAGAGCAACCCTGGCCTTCTGCCCTCCCCGGGTGCACCGCAGGGGGTAAAACGCCCCGCGCGGCCCCGTGGCCCCGAGCGCGCGAACCGCCGCCCCCGCCCGTCGCCCGCCGCCCGCAGCCTCCTCGACCTGGGACCCCTCAGCCGCCAAGCAGTCCCGCCCAGGAGACTCCTGCCTCCGCTGCCCCTCCTCGCGCGACCCACACTCACTTCTAGCGCAGCCAGCATTCGCCACCGCCGCGTTCCCGGCGGCTCCCACACCCACAGTTAGCCAGAGTCCAGGACCGCGACCCGCGCGCGCCGCGGCGCCTCCTGCCGGCCGCTCAACGGCCGGGGCGGGGCCTCGGTGGGGGCGGGGTCTCTTGGAGGGCGGGGCTAAGAGAAGCGGAGGGACGATCTGGCGCTTCGATGCCCAATAGGCAGAAACGGCTCCTTGAGGGGGCGTGGACTCAAGGAGAGGCGGGTGCCTGATGGCTAGAAAAGATGGTGCGTGTGCTGGCGCCTCCTGCCTGCCATCCAATGGACCTGGACGAGACTTGTGGGGCGGGGCCTCGGTGGAGGGTGGGGCCTCGGTGGAGGGGCGGGGCTGGTGCTGTCCTGGCAGCACTTGTAGGCTCAAGGCTCCAAGGTAGTATGGGCAGTGTTTCTGTACCCATCTTCTGGTAGAGTGCAAGGGGTGGGTGGCTACAGAATTGTGCCCCTCAATATATGAGCATATAAGTCCTTGAAAGGGAGCAGTATGGCGAGTTCTCTCTCCCCTACCCCGAAGCCAGAGCTTTAAAAGACAAATCATATGGTCGCACACCAGTTCTAAACGCAACAAAATAGGGCCATGTCAGCAACTGCCTTCCCTTGTAACTTATTTTCTTTAAAAACAAAACAAAACAAACCCACATGCCTGTAATCCCAGCACTTTGGGAGCCTGAGGCAGGAAGATCACAAGTTCAAGTCCCGCCTGGGTAAGCAACTTAGTGACACCCTGCCTCGAATAGAAAATAAAAGAGTGCTGAGGATGAGCTCAGTGAGAAGGCCCTGAGTTCAATTCCCAGTGCCGAAAAAAATAAATAATAAACAACTATTCTTGGCAATCAGGCAGGAGTTTACTTGCTTTTCACAGGTAGGGCTCTTTCCTACCCTACTGCATCTGTCAGTCTAGGGCATCACATGGTCTCCGATACCAAAATCAGAATTCAACCCTGGGGCGCATCCTTCATGCACAGCTATTGGGGTGTAATAGTTTATAGTAAGGACCTCATTTATATTTGAGATGGGGAA